AAAACGCTACGAATTAATTCCAACACCTAATATATAAAATTAGAAATTATAATATTAATTTGAAATTGAAGGATCCATCGTTTTTCTCTTCTAGATAGATGCAAAAACAGTTTAATATTGAATTACATAAGATTTTTATGATTCTGAGGCATTTTTATTATCCTATTAATATAAAAAAAAGTTACTATATTATGAAACACATTTAATTATTTATTGGAAAAATATAATGTCTTTTCTATTTTTATTTTTATGTTAAATTCAAGTGAAAATAAAATACTAATTACAGAGAAGGAATTGGCAAAACAAATTTTATTTTAAAAAAATAGGAAATAAAAATAAAAAAATTAATAAATCTAGGCTAATTAGAGATTTCAACTTCTTTTCTTATTTAACTTATTTTTCTTTTGATTTTATAAGAGTTGTAACATTTTTAAAACATTCAATTCGTAATTGAAAGACTAAGGAATTCAGGAATTTTCAATATTTTCCTAATTTTTTTTTTTTTTTACATTAGTGATATAAGTAGCTATTTTTGCATATCAATTGTGATTTCGTAGGACATATCATTTGCTTTCCACTTACACACAAGTTAAACTGAGTTTGAAACGAGTTGAGTATTTCATACTCAGATTAATGACGTCATTATTTCCTTACTTTGATAAAAAGTTATCACATAACAACACGAGTTCACAACCTCACTAAAGTGAGTTTACGAGACTCACTAAAGCACACGATCTTGTGCAGATTATAAATAAAAACTCAGTTAAATCTCACTTACTAGAATGCAAAAGGAACAAGCATTCAACTGAATTATGATGTCACAAGTGAGAATTATCTGAGAATCTGTATAAAGCAACTATTATAGAGTAATATATTATTATTGTCTTTTGAATTTTTTTCTTGTGAAGGATAGAAAGTTTTTTTCTTTAATTGATCTTAGTGATCGATAATGTATGATTTTGTACGATCTCTCTTGAATTTGATCTTTCCAAGGCGTATGATTGAAATTAGTGTGGCAAGTGTTAGAGTTTAGGCGAAAATTGAATTAAATCCATAATTTGTAAGACCCTCTTTAAGTACAATTTTATCCTCGAATTATAAAATTAGCTCGCTCTCTTGCTCTGAATATTTCATTTAAACGCATAAATTGGACGACGCTTTCGCACGCTTAAGGACAAAAATATTAACGATCTTAAACTTAGAACTAAGAACACTAAGCGTCAGCCTTCTTATAAGTTAAATCTAAACCCTCTTTATATA